TAACAGTCCCGTACCCGTCACCTTATAGAACCCTCACAATTGGCAGATATTGTGTGGGCGTACTCCAGCTATAAGCCTCATCGCTACGTGGCCTGAAACGGTGTTGGAAAGAGGGGTAATTCGGTGGGATTGCAGCAAACGTCGCTCGACTAGATGAAGACGTCATTGCTTTTCACAGGGAAGAACGAGTCTGCGGAGCTCGCCTGCTGTGTAGAAGTGAGATACTCCAAGTAGGGCAAAGGAACGATTGACCGTTACGAAGGCCGAAAAGGAGTTTGAGGAGAAAGGCAAAAGAACCGCTTTGAAGTCTAGGTGAACGAGCGAATTAACCGATTCGATGGCGTAAGCACTTCATTAGCAATACTGACCAGAGACCAGAGGTTACAGGCTATACCGATTCTTTCTGCCAGGCAGGCAGGCAGGCACGCTCCACATGGTTCCACTGTACGCTCGTCTAAATCGATAGCATCTTCCAAAAAGCATAGACAGCTGATTTAAGGCGGAAAATAGGAGCAGAAAAATAGAAATAAAATAGCTGCCCATTTCGCCGTAAACTTCCCTGTAGTCACTTAATTATATAAAACATACAATTAAGTATTAAATATGTTAAATGAATTAAATAGAATAATTTTTCCCTATCGATTTAATGTAAGAACTCTCAAACATAGATAACAATCGTTTTTGATATTAAAATGATTATGACTTAGTAATCACTAAAGATACAGTTCTGCTGGCAGGTTTAACACCATAGTCGAGATTGTTAGATGATGTGGCTAGGACGGTAAAAATCTGTATAATGGCTGTTTCTCCTAATACCTACATCAAGATGAAAATAATTTTAAACCGTTTATTTGATTTTGCTTACAAACTAAGAGTCAATACAAAGCCATCAGCACTAAAGCAGTTATCATATGGCTTGTGCCGAATGTCACTGGCCGTCTAAACAATACAATGGGTGACGTATCGTATCAGAGAAAAACGTTGCATAACATGTTACTTTTTTTTCTCCTAGAAACAGGTTTAGATACAGTAGCTAACTTTAGATAAGGTAGATACTCAGGATCAGCTGTAACAGACAAACAGACGTAGCGTCGTTTGTTATTAAGGCTATTTGCCAGCCAACGGGCTCGGCCGACGTGGACGTATTGAGATGATGTTACAAGTAATCTTTAATTTATCAGATGCGAAGTACATGAGGATTATGTGCGACGTTTACTGTTTACCCTTTCTTTATTACCGCTTTCCTAGTTGTCTCTCAGTGTCGGCAATTTCCAGTGATGTTTGTAAAGTATTATTTACATTAGTGGTTATTAAAGTATGATTGCATAATCAACAATTCGACCGGACCGTCGTCTGCGAGGTTGATACAGTGGTCTCAGTCAGTAGGTATTCGATTTTAGCCAATATAGCACCTACGGTCCTAGAGGTACGTCCTTGATGTTCGCTTGTTGGCTGTCGTTCATTGCTGATCGATTACTCGACAACGACAAATTTCAAAAAAAAGACGAAAATATAATCATGCCTATGAGGTATCTATCGTGTACTGATTTGATTTGTACGGGTACGACTACTGCAGGGTTCTCTGCTCAACAGTCCGTACAATCCAAGACGTCCTGCGTCTCCATCCGTCGCCGGCGATACTAGATGCCGCCAGCGATTCCCTAGTATTCACACCTGAATACGTATGGAATCCTCCAGCTACGATACTATTGTGTATCGAAAGTGCAATTGACGTTGAACGCAGTCGTCCGTCAGATATATATATATA